GATCGATCCCGGCGTCGAGCGGTTCGAGGTCGTTGCCATGGTCGACTGTCGAGCGTGGCGTTTCATTTTGAGATTGAGCGTGGTGCGAGTTTTTAACTACATTGGATTGGCTGAAATGATGCATTTTATTGTAAACGCGCCAATGAGATGGTTTTAGAGTGGATTAATACCATTCATTTCAGCCAATCCGAGTCGATGCGAGCCAGCCACCCTGCCGTGGCCGATTCCAGCGGGCTCAGCGGCCAAAAGTCGACTTGAAAATGGAATCGCTCGTTCTTGGCACAGTGATAGACAACACATTGGAGAGTACGATATGCTATGCCGCGTCACCGTTGGAGGCGTAGAGCCCGAGAAAAAGAGGTTGAAAGGTGGCAAGCAAAGACTAAGTTCGAGTTCTTAGTGGTGTCGTAGAGCTTCCATGGGTCGCATTCTGGGCGAGGCTGCCAAATCTCTGGAATGTTCATGGTATCCGGAGATCTGATTGGTGGCTTTTCAACGGATTTTTTTCTTCTGTATTGGTTGACATCTGGCTCCCCGGCACGGCGCCGGCGCACTTTGTCGAGCATTCTACCTGTTACAACGAATATCCAGTATCGAATGTTAGAGGTTATCATGGCGATCGTCCATTTTCGATTGACATGGCCAGCCGCTCGACGCGCATCCGCGCCCGACCCCGCTTGCCGCAGTGACAGTGGACAAGGTCTCGGCTGCGGCTCGCGTACCAGGCACCACGACCTCTTCAAGCACCATCCAAAGCGCTGCGGCAGCTCTGCGACGGACCAAGGCCAACAACTCATGCACCTACACCTGCCGAGACTCGTACCTGCCGTCGCTGCTGCCGACGCGGGTTCAGGTCCAGACGACGACTACTGCGATGCGGTCCATGAAGGGGACAATGAACTCGACGAGCCTGTCGGCTTCAATCGCACCGATATCAAGGCGCACCTCGATGAGCACTGGCGGCGCGTCTCGGCGACACTTCCGAGGATGTATGGCACTCGTGTGGCCCAGTCGGCGACCATGGACAAGATCGTGAATCTTTCATGCTCCCGGACGCGCTTCTCAATGCGGGTGCCGCGACGATGCTCGACTATCTCTTCTCCAACATGCAAGTCTTTCTCTTATGCCCATTCTTGTTTTACGGCGATGCCATGCGCGAGCTCGAGCTGACACGCATTGTCTGCGGGGAGCAAGGGTGCAATACTAGTGGCTGAAACAGCTCGTGGCAAGTTGTCGTTGGTTTGGAGAGCATAGCGCTGGGCAAGGTCTGCTCGTTCAAGCACGACAACTGTCCCGTAGCTCGCGCTGCCATCAAACACGCTAGCGTCTTCCCGGCCTTGCAACCCAAGTTCCTCGACTCGCTTTCCCCCTCATCCGAAGCTTCCATCCCTACGCTAAGCTCAAGCAGTGGGTCGTCAAGACGACGATGGCGACATGGATCCGTGAGATGAAGATGAACGGTTTGTCTTTTGCGGCTTTCGAAAAGGCTCACAAGGCTGCGATGGCGCACATGTACTTGGAGGCCGAGCAACGCTACCTTCATCATTGTGTCTCGACGCAGTGCAGCATCCAGCAGCGCTTCACCCCTGTCGAGTTTGTGGACTTTGGCGATTGGCCCTGCCGCGGTATCTAGGAAAAATCGGCGCGCCATCAAGTCGGCACGACTATGAGGCGCTTGGAGCCATTGACTATGGGCCATATATCGTCGCCGACGGGCGAGCTCCTTAAGATGGACCACACGTTCCGCGTCGCCAACTTCGGCAAGGATGCCAACGGTGAGTAGGAGTACAGCTGCATGAACTAACGAGCACCAGGAGGTTTGATTACCAAGCTGCCCTGGACAACCAACGCTCTTTACTATAAGCTAGCATGGAAATATATACGTTTTGCGACCATATGCACGGTGGACGCGATGGAAGATAGTCAATCGCTTCCTAGTCATCGAGCCTTTCACGTCAATTGGATTGGTGTGTCAAAATTGGTATCCAGCGATCCTATTCGTCGTTAGCAATTGGTATCCAGGCATTTGATTGGCTGTTCCCGGG